TACTTTTACTTGACGTGCACGATTAAAACTGTTATAAAATTTAAATTATTCAATTTTTTTTTTTTGTGTGTATGTTTTTTTTTTTTTGTGTGATGTTTTTGATCCGGTGTGGTCCGGTGCAGTATTCGTATACACCCCATTTAAATGTTTTTCTTTGCATTCTGTGAGAATTTTAAATTCTTGATTCAAAAAATGAAATTGTTTGTTCATTATAGTAAACCCAGAATCTCTCATAATAGCCACAAGTTTACTTCTTTTAAAAAAGATATAATGTTATTACTCTAAACTCTAAAAGTTTTAAGATTAACCTAAAAAACAATTACGAAACATGCGCTAAAATGCAATGAAAAAAAATGTCTTTAGTTTGAAGCGTTAATGACCTGGTTTCTTTACCGGCTTTCCCTGATGTAAATGACACATTTCCTCTATTACACAAAAAAACGCTCAAAATGTGCACACACAAAAAAAGTTTGATAATCTATAATCATGAGCCATTCCATAAAAAAAAAAAATCTGAGGTGAACATCTAAACAAAAAAAGTAACAATGTTTAAAAAATTACATAAAAATGAAATTTTTAAAACGCTATCATTGTAAAGGCATAATAATATATAGTGCAAGGACTTAAATAATATTTTATTACTACCAAAAGATAGCTACAAGCTTTTAAATTAAAGAATACCTAAAAAAAATTCATAACTTTTAACAAATTTCTCATAAGCACTATATAAACAAAATGATACTTTTAACTCGCGTAAGCGAATCATTTTTTAGACAAAAGAATATGGCTAAAATATGGGTTCCACAGGGTTAATGGTTAGTCCAAACCTAAAATAAACGTGGTCAAGAGGACAAAAGACTCTTTTATGCATTACAACTAAAAAAAATTCGTAATGCCAAATTTTATTTTAGTCAAATGTCAAATTTTGAAGCAATTTTGACCCACTGTGCGGCAGTTCTATCTTATGTCAATGGGATGGTTTCATCTTTTTCTGACGTAAGTGCGCCAAAAATGGTGTTCAAAATTTTGTTAAAAAATTTTGTCCCTAATCTAAGTTGATACCATTTTATTAAGGAGCACATTGGTGGTACTGTATTTTAAGAACCTCACGAACTTTCCTATCAAATTTTTTAGCATCGACTTTTAGAGTTCTCTAAATGTAGCAGTTAATTTGTTGTGCACAATAACTCTTGTGTGCGGCTAATGCAGATCGTTCTGTTTGATTTCCTATTGTACTGTCTTTGTGTTATTGCATGAAAACGAACTGAAATTGTATTTGTCAAAAATGGCTGCAAACAGTCTAATTTTATAAAAACCATAAAAGAGTTAAAACGAAATAACAAAAAATCATTAGGGATTACTAAAAATATTAAAAACATTACCAGTACGTATCCAACGATTTCATTACCTTGGGTACCGATATTGTCTCCCAAATTACGTAAGGTATTTAGGAAAGCAGGATATAAAACGGTCTTCAAATCAAACTTAAACCTAGAGGCAATATTAACATCAAGAAATATATTATAACTACAAATATATTATAATTTATTAAAATAATGTCTGAATTCATCCAACCAGAAGGATTTGCAAATCCCACGCATCCAGGAGGACCTTCCTTTATCATGTAATCATAAAATTTGACCCTAGGAAAAACAAATAGTGGAGGAATAGAGTTTCCAATTGCATTTGAAGCACAACATACAGTTACTAATGTTCCTCGTTCTGCAGATGTGGTTCTTCCTACTTGTTTACTTCCTTTACCTGCTAACACTTTTACTGGCTTTTGTACTGTTGTTAAACCAGTTTCATCAACATTATATATGCAATAAGGATCAAACTTATATCGATTTCTTACTGTTTTTAGATTTTGGAAAAATTCTCCAACAGTGTGTCGGTTAAAGGCAGTTGATCGAACAAAGCTAGTTGCTTCAGGTGTTCGTAAAGACAACTCTGGTTGTCTTTTCATAAAACCTTGAAACCAATCAATCCCTGCAATTTTATTTTAGACCCATAATGAAGGGCAAATCTTATTATTTTTTACAGCAATAATCATGTTGAATTAATCAGTTGAAAGTCCATAGTTCATTTTTGATGCAAGTAGTAAATAACTTGACAAACTTTTTTCATTTTCTGCAGTAAAAACTTGTTTATTGTTGTAATTAGGCTTAAAAGATTCATTTGGGTTGAGCTTCTTTTTATTAAAATATCTTTTTAAGGTCATTCGATTTATGCTAAACTTGCGAGCTACACCATTCACTGGTCTGCCCTCTAAAACTTCATTACCAGCTGATTTAATTGTATCACATGATATAGCAACTCTGTCTGTTTTTTTTTGTATACCTAACCATTTAAAGATTTGAAAATTTAAAAAAAAGTAAAATAAAATGATTGTTTAAAAAAAATACTTTATATAATAATATTATGTAAACTAAATGTAAAACTTATGTAAAACTAAAAACTAATGTTATAAATATTAGTTTTTAACACTATTACATTTTAAAAATGAAATTTTAAAAATTTATATAAAGATTTTTTATTCGTCATAAGTTTAAATGTATAAAATTTAAACAAAAAATTTAAGTCTTATAATATAAGTTATATGGGGCACTTTGTTTCTCCGATCAATGAGCCCCGCATAGTCAACGATCAATGTGCCCCATTAAGTACAGTTGATATATTGATGCCAATAACTTCTATAAATACAGAAACCAACTCAAAAAAAAAAAGTTATTATAAACTTAACACATATGAGTTTACAATAAATTGGTTGTAAAGTCATACGGAAATCTAATTAAAAATTTATTTGAATTTGTTTACAACTTTCAAAAATCACTTTTCATGATGAAAAACAGTCTTTTCAATTTTCTTAACGCTGAAGTTGATCTTATCAAAAATTATAACGATTAAGCAATGAAGGGTAGTATAATGGTTAATTAAATTGAAATCTCTGTTAAATTAAGGCAAAAGTAAACGAGTAAAAGCTAAAAGATCATACTGCCCCGGCGATCAATGCGCCCCCATCTCCCCTACAATGACACCTGAATTTCGTCACTGGATTTGCCACGATTATGCTTTATCTACGAATTGTTGTGAATTTTTTAATAGAGTTGGTTTTTCTTTTAATATTGGTTGTATTAGTTTTACCGAGGTTCCGTAGGTCAATGTGCCTATTGTAGATACAACAACTCGCATTGGGTAAGATTGTTCAGGCTTATGTGCCTTCACTATACCATACATACGATATGATATCAGGTAACTGGGATAAATTTGCTGTAAATTATCTTTTGTGAACCGACCTTTTTTATTTAATTTTGATAGTTGAACTTTGATTTTCATTGCGTAACTTTGTATCGGAACCTCATTGATAGTTTTAGTTCAATTTGTTCTCGAATCTTTTTTATTGCTTTATCACGAGGGATCGTTACAAAGCCCATTCCTTTATCAAATGGGTATACATCAATATTATGATTGTTTTTTAATTGTGTAAGTGCTTTCCGTTGTTCACAAGTCAGGTTGTCGCTTATATTATTTTTGTTTAATTTTAGTTCTCTCAAAACATCTCCCCTCAGTGTTTGCACAGCTTCATCTTTTTTGTTGTATTCAAGTTTTAGAGCAGAGGACTCAGTTATTGAGATGATGTCATGTCTCAGTTATTGAGATGATGTCATGTCTCAGTTATTGAGATGATGTCATGACTCAGTTATTAAGATGATGTCATGTCTCAGTTATTGAGATGATGTCATGTCTCAGTTATTGAGATGATGTCATGTCTCAGTTATTGAGATGATGTCATGACTCAGTTATTGAGATGATGTCATGTCTCAGTTATTGAGATGATGTCAAGATTTAGATTTAAAATATTTATATATTAATTGTTTGTTATATATTAATTGTTACTACTCATTGTGTTTTTTTTAGAAATATTTTAATGAAAAATTTTAATGTGGAAAATTTTAATGTAGAAAATTTTAATGTGAAAAATTTAAATCTAATAATAATTTTTAAAATTTAAATCTTAATAATAATAATAGTAATAAATTTAAATTTTAAAGTGAAAAATTTTAATGTGGAAATACGGAAACTTTAAACACATCTAATTAAAAAATTTGTTCTTTTAATATGACAATATTACTGTGCTTTTGAATACTTCAAAAACATAATATAGAATCCATATATCCAGTAAAGAACTTTTTTTTCATTTTATGAAACTATGATGTTTATATTTACTTTATCTGGAAAGTTGTTTCAGATAATTTTTTAGAAACTTAAATATTCTAATTTTCACGTTAACTACTTATAGTATAGTGACTTATTTTAAGGGGATTGCAGAGGCAAATCCCCCCCCTCCTTCCAATAGATTTGCTCCCTGGTTGCTTTTTATACTTTCTAAATAACAACTATATCTTAAAATCATTCGATGATTCTTAAATAAGTTTTTTTGAACTTTTCAATATTATAGAAAGGATAAACTACCCTAAAGAGCAGCCAACCATATTTCAATACAATGTCAAGATATGGCCTACGTTGGACCAAATAAATTGTGCTGTTTGAGGGATGTCGTACTTGTAATTATTGTTTCATTAATATTTGCATAAAAAATTTAGATTAACTGTATTTTTAGATTAGGATTTAATTTTAAAAAGAAGGATCAAATTTTCTTAGCTTTACTGAAAGAAAGTTGGAGGAGATCCCTCTCCCCGCCAAAGGAATTTTGTTAAAACTGTTCTTTTAAGGCGCATTTTATAATTAAAGTAATAAGGTTTGCCTTTTATTAAAAAAAAGATAGTAAATCACAATTGTCAAATATGTGAATATGCATATTTTTTTTTGGTGTGGCTAAAATTACACAACCTTTGAACAAAAATCGGTATTGTGTAGGTAGGATTTTTAAATCTTTATGGAAGCTTTTTATTAATATGAAAACATTTTAATAAGCGTCACAACTTTTAAATAATAATTCAGATATATTAATTTAACATGAAAAGTCGTAGATTTCGTTAAGTTTATTTGTTGTTCAACTTCAGTGGTTTTGTTAATTATAAGGATAAAATTTGTAAATTACACACGGATCGGAAAAGATGGCTGAAACTTCAACTGAAGACGTGTTTTTAGCAGAAAAAGTCGTAGATTCAGGTTTTGGACAGGTATTGCAATTTATTACTACTATTGCTCTAAATCTTTCACGCGATACATTAGGCCAGATAGAGAACTTACTGACAAAAGAAAATTTGGGGATCATTAAACAAAGGCCACCCTGACCACCCAATTCTTCGGGCAGCAACGACCAAATTTATTGAGCTTGATAATCGCAACCGTTTCTGTTTTCTATCCAATATCTCATTTCTACCCTAAAATTCTGTTAGAATTGATTTTTTTTTACTAAATACTATTACTGAGTAGTAAATATGAAGTATTTTATCTATAAACTTCACTATTAACTATTTATATCATTAAGTAAATGATATAAATCTTCTTTTTAGCCATCTTTAATTGGATTTTGTATGCAATAAAAAAAAACAACAACCAACAGCATAGTAAAAAGCTTCATTTTAAAGAAAATCTTGTTTATCTGAAGTGATGTTTGTTTAAAGCAACTTTTGCTTTTAAAATTGAAATTCTATCATTTTTATTGCTGACACTCATATATTGTGTATTTACATTACTCTTAATAACTCAATTAAATAACAGAAACAATCATATTCAAAATTATTTCAGCAAAGTGCACTCATAGAAATGAGCTTTGTACAATCACTGGTATTACCAGTGATTGTACAAAGCCCATTTAAATTTCAATAAAATTGTTTCTATTATTTAATTAGGTTATTAGGAATAATGTTAATACACAATATATGAGTGCCAGTAATAAAAATGATAAATAAAAATAATAAATTAAAATAAGAATAAATTCAATATCTGTTATAGTATATATTATATTATATATTATATATATATATATATATATATATATATATATATATTTATATATATATATATATATATATATATATATATATATATATATATATATATATATATACATATTATATATATATTATATATATATATATATATATATATATATATATATATATATATATATATATATATTATACATATATATATTATATATATATATATATATATTTATATATATATTATATATATATTATATATATATTATATATATATATATATATATATATATATATATATATATATATATATATATATATATATATATGTATTATATATATTATTAACCTATATATTATTAATTTAATTTGATTTTCACATAATTAATTTCAGTCTGATATGACTGAAATTAATTATGTGAATCAGTGGTGATACTTGTTACATTAATTTAAATAGCCTAATATCCAATATTTTTGGCTAGTTTAAAACATACTAATGAAATTCTTTTTACACAACTTAGTTTAACTAGTAGTCTTTACAAAAAAAGGTTATTTCATTAAAGTTAAGTCAGTTAGTGTTGATAATTATAAAACAGTTAGACCTTTAAATGGTTAAATATTAAAATTGATTGTTTAAAAATTGTTTATATATATATATATATATATATATATATATATATATATATATATATATATATATATATATATATATATATATATATATATATATATGTATATATATACACAGGGCCTATATAGGAAAAAGTTTGAGCGACGGTACCCCCTCATACTGGTAAACTTTTGCAGAAAATAGGCTTTTTTTTCCAAAAAAAAACAGTATTTGTCGTAAAAAAAAAAAAAAAAAGGTTCTCAAATTTTAATTTTGGCAGCGCTCAAATACGGTTAATTTTATTGAAAATGATCTAGAATAGCCCCTGATATATATATGTATATATATATATATATATATATATATATATATATATATATATATATATATATATATATATATATATATATATATATATATATATATATATATCAGGGGCTGATATATATATATATATATATATATATATATATATATATATATATATATATATATATATATATATCAGTGATAAAATATACAAATATTGTATATTTTATCACTTACAGGGACAGATTTTATAAAAAACAAACACTTACAGGGACATTAGCATTATCAGGGAGATTTTAGTGTACCTGTTAATTTTTTGTCCCTGTAAGCATTATTTTTTTTGCAAAAAAAATTTACCCATAAGAAATTTTTATAGGGAACGAAAAGTACTTACATCGACTATCAAATAGCCTGACTCGCAGGGGAGTGCTGCTACATCGACTGAGGGTTTGGTTAGGCCAGGCATCAAGGTTAGGGTTAGGGTAATGGCAAGGTTTAAATTTGGTTATATTATTGTAATTGTTTTTGTAAATAGATGAAGCAAAAAATGAAATATGATATAAAATAAATAAATAAAAATAACAAAAAATTAATATAAAAAATATATTTTTATAAAAAAAGTATAAATAAAATAATAGTTAAAAAAAATATATAAATATAGTATAAAAAAGTAAAAAAAACAACAAAGCGAGAACAAAAAAAATGTTTCCGAAAGTCTCGACTCGGATGCTATATATATATATATATATATATATATATATATATATATATATATATATATATATATATATATATATATATATATTTATTTGCATTCACTCCCAACAAGGCTGCAAGCAACCACTATTAAGTTGGGAAAAATACTAGGAAAAAAAAAAGATCAGAGTTATAGAGCAAGGAAACAGTTGACAGAAGACTTGAAAAGTTGAAGGTTGTATGAGTCAGGAAAACATGAAGATGGGAGAGAGTTCCGAAGGATTGAAGTGCGGGGAAAAAAACTAGATGAATAAAAGTTTTTAGAGCATGCAGGGACAGATACAGTAAACGAATGAGACTTAGCTGAATGACGAGTAAAACAAGAATGAATTTTAGTTGATGGAACTAGAGATGATAACTCCTTTGAGCAGTGACCATAATAGTATCTGTAGAAAAGAGAAAGAGATGCAACTTTACGACGATGGGAAAGAGGTTCAAGCTTAGCAGATAGCCCAGGTCCAACAACATTTACAATGCGTTTTTGGACCTTGTCAAGAAGAGAAAGTGAATCGTTAGAAGAACCAGCCCAAATATGACAACAGTATTCCATACAGGGACGAATAAGAGATTTGTAGAGGTAGAGAATAGAATCAGAAGTAAGGAAATGGCGAGCACGATAAAGAGAAGCAACCTTAGCAGAAGCTAATTTAGCAATCGATTGTATATATGGTTTCCATGAAAGGTCAGTAGTAAGCGATAATCCAAGAAGACGTAAAGAGGAGGACTCAGTAAGAGGATTACCATTCATTAATATAGGAATGTTGACCATATTACAGTAGTTGTTTGCAGTAAGCAATTGGGTTTTTTTAGAGTTGAAATTCACAAGCCACTGTGAACCCCAATCTATTACTGAAGTGAGATCAGATTCAAGATCAGCTGCTTGTTCTAGGTGATCCAAAAGAGAAGACTTTTTGTCAAGACAGGAGTATAAAGTTGAGTCATCAGCAAAAAGAGCTACTTTAGATGAAAGGTTGTCAGGAAGATCGTTTATGTAGATAAGAAACAAAACAGGGCCCAGGATGGAACCTTGGGGAACCCCAGAAGTTACTGGAAATAAAGAAGAGTGTTGGCCTTCAAGGATGACTTTAATAAACCGGTTAGAAAGAAATGATTTGATAATCTCAAAAACTTTCCCAGAAACACCATGTGAAGCAAGCTTATGGAGAAGACCAGCATGCACGATAAAATCTTTCAGTTACAGCAGTTAGCAAGTCGGCCGTAGAGCGAGAGGATCGAAAACCGTATTGATTGTTTGACAGCAGTTTATTTGACTCAAGATGAGATGTGAGGAATTTGTTGATCAAAGACTCAAAGACCTTGCTAATAACAGAAAGAAGACTGATCGGACGATAATTGGAGGGGTCAGAATTTTCCCAGAGTTTTTGAATATTGGAACCACAGATGCCATTTTCCAACAAGCAGGAAAACAAGACTCAGTCAAACACTGGTTAAATAGTTTAGAGAGAATTGAAGAAAGTTCTGGAGAACAATTCTGCAAGACTGTGACAGGAATGTTGTCTGGACCACAAGCTGTAGACGAGTTTAATTGAGATATGACTTTAGCAACAGAAGCCGGCGTGATTTGAATGTCTAACAATGGGTCAACCTGTTTGACTGGAATGGAAGGAAGAGAATGTCCATAAGATTCAAGAGTGGAATTAGAAGAAAAGTTCTTTGCAAATAGTTCTGCCTTATCCTTAGGAGAGGTAATAAGATCAGTCCCATGAATGAGAGATGGAATGTTAGATCTACCCTTGTTAACAATGCTGTTGAAGATTTTCCAAAAGTCTTTAGAGCCTAACTTCTGCGATAAGATGCGAGATTTAGTGAACTGAGAATAATGGAGTTTAGCATCAGAAAGCACCTTTTTACATCGATTTCTTGCAATAATAAATAGCCGTTTGTTCTCAAGAGAGTTGTTCTTTTGAAAAAGATGAAAAAAATGATTACGATTGGATATAGCAGCCGCACAAGAAGGAGAAAACCATGGAGTAGAATGAGGCTTGACTTGAAACCGGCGAGAAGGAATAAAAGCTTCCATTCCAGCCTGAATCCAGGAGGTTACGTAGGAGGCGCATTTGTCAGCTGAGAGAGAAAAAAAATCAGCCCAAGGACCATCACGAAGAAAATCACGAAAGGAATCCCAGTCAGCTTTAGGATAGTAGTAGGTGGTGCGATGATAAGGTGAGCCCAAAAAAGAAGTACAAGAAGAAAGATTTATAGAGATCATTGCATGGTCAGAACCACCTAAGGGAGAAAAGGGAGAAACTGAACATAAGCTAGGGTCAGAGACAAGACATAAGTCAAGGAGTGAAGGTAAATGATTAGGGTTGTCAGGAAAACGAGTCACAAAGTTAACTATCTGAGTAAGGGATTGAGAATCGCAGAAGTTATATATATATATATATATATATATATATATATATATATATATATATATATATATATATATACACACACACACACACACACATATATATATATATATATATATATATACACACACACAGATATATATATATATATATATATATATATATATATATATATATATATA